TCGTCGCCACGGCTGGCTTCGCCTCGCAACCCTGCTCAGAACGCTCTCTGGGAGAGGTCCAGGGGTCGGCTTTGAGGTCGAATGAGGAATGAAAGAAGAGGATGGAGGAGGAGGAGGAGGAGGAGGGCAAGGGTGAGAGGCAACTTCGATCTGCTTGGTACCACGCTGCCGACAAGACTGTGACAGGCTGGAGTGCGCAGCTTTCTCTGTGCTCAAGCTCTTCTCGGCCAGAGCGAGCGCAGCCCGCCCGCCTCTGCCCTTCCTATACCTTGGCCTCGCCCGACCAGACAGACCAGCGCGACACGGCCATGGCGCCGCGCGCCTTGGCCCTCCTCGCCCTGGCGGCCTTGCCGCGGGCGGCCGCGCTCCAGGCCGGCGGCGCCGCCCCGGCCAGCGGCGCCGCTCTCGATGGAGCGGCCGGCGGGGCCGGGCCGCTCGCGCAGAACGGCACGCTCCGCAGTTGGCTGGACGGCCTGCTGCACAGCGCGCAGGTGCGGAGCGACCCGGGCGTCCAGAAGATGTTCGCGCTCGTGCCCGGCCTGGAGGGCGCGCTCCAGGGGCCGGACGCGCTGCAGCAGGCGTTCAGCCCGAGGATGATCGATGCGCTGCAGCGCGGCTTCGACGGCTCGCTTCCCGCGACCACCTCGAGGGACGCGAAGGGCCGCGAGAGGGTGGACCTCGGAGACGGGCTGGTGATCACCCGCCTCGCGCCCGGGGCCAACGGGAGCTCTCCCGTGGACGACGACTCGGTCTCGCTGGAGTACAGGGCCTTCACCAGGGATGGCGACGAGTACGCCTCGTCCCGCAGCCTGGGCCCCCTGAACTTCACGCTGGGGGACCCGGGCCTCATCCCCGGGCTGGCCAGGGCGGTGAGGCACATGACCCTCGGGGAGCGCGTGCTCGTCCGGCTGCCCAGGCAGCTCCTGTATCGGAGAGGCTCCCGCCATTCCGCCGACCCCCCAAAGAGGGGGTTCGTGACGATGTCCGGGGTTGCGCGAGTGCCCCGTGTATGGCAAGGAAGAGGTGGACAAGGAGGATGAAGAGGAAGAGGGGGAGGGAAGACGACGACGACGACACCGACGATGACGAACACGACGATGATGATGATGATGATGATGATGATGATGATGATGATGATGATGATGATGATGATGATGATGATGATGATGATGATGATGATGATGATGATGATGATGATGATGATGAGGCAGAGGATGATGATGATGATTATGATGATGATGAGGATGTGATGATGATGATGCTGACGCTGATGCTGATGATGATGATGATGATGCTGATGCTGCTGCTGCTGCTGATGATGATGATGATGATGATGATGATGATGGTTATGGTGGTGGTGGTGATGATGATGATGTTGCTGATGATGCTGATGAGGATGATGAGGATGATGATGATGATGAGGATGGTGAGGATGATTAGGATTATGAGGATGATGAGGATGATGAGGATGATGAGGATGATGAGGATGAGGATGAGGATGAGGATGCGGATGAGGAGGATGATGAGGATGAGGAGGATGAGGAGAATGAGCATGAGGAGGATGAGGATGAGGAAGATGAGGATGAGGATGAGGATGATAAGGATGATGGCGATGATGATGAAGGTGATGATGAAGATGATGATGAAGATGATGATGCAGATGATCATGATGATGCTGATGATGCTGCTGATGATGATGATGATGATGATGATGATGATGATGATGATAGTGGCGGTGGTAATGATGATGATGATGATGATGATGATGATGATGATGATCATAATGTTGTTGATGATGGCAATGTCGATAATGGTTGTGGAGATGTTGAGGGTGATAGTGATGATGACGTGGACGACGACGACGACCAGAACGACGACGGCCATGACGCCGATGATGAAGATAATGATGTCGAGTATGGTGTTGATGATGATGATGATGATTATGATGGCGATGATGATGATGCTGTTGTTGACGATGATGATGATGCGGATGATCATGGTGGTGATGATGACGATGTTGATGAGGCTGATGATGCTTCTGATGATGATGCTGCTGATGATGATGACGATTGTAACGATGATGGTGATGATGATGACGATGATGTCAACGATGATGATGGTAATGAGGATCACGGTGATGATGAAGATGATGATGATGATGATGATGATGATGATTATGATGATGACGATGATGATGATGATGATGATGATGATGGTGACGATGCTGATGATGCTGATGATGATGATGATGATGATGATGATGATGATGATGATCATGATCATGATTGCGATGATGGTGATGATGATGCTGCTGATGAGGATGAGGATGATGATGGTGCTGATGCTGATGCTCACGATGATGATGATGATGATGATGATGATGATGATGATGATGATGATGATGATGGTGATGATGTGATGATGTGATGATGGTGATGATGATGATGGTGATGGTGATGATGATGATGATGATGATGATGATGATGATGATGATGATGATGATGATGATGAGGCCGATGATGATGCTCATGGTGATTGTGATGACTACGATGGGGACGATGGCCATGATTATGCTGATAATGATGACGATGATGCTGCTGTTGACGGTGATGACGATGCTGATGACAAATGATGATGATAATGTTGATGATAATGATGCTGATTTAAAGTTTTTTGGTGATGTTGGAAATGGTGACATCAGTGACCACGGTGGTGCCGGAGCCACCGATCATGATATCATGATGTTGTTTACGATGACGATTTTGATCGTGGTGATGGAGTCGATGCTGACGCCGAGTCTTATGAGGGCGACGATGAGCGTTCTGACATCGACGACTATGATGCTGATGATGATGACGACGATGCTGCTGCTGCTGCTGCTCATGATGATGATGTCGACACTGATGCTGCTGATGGTGTTGATGATGATGACGATGATGGTGGTTGTGGTGGGAGCGATGCGGCTGATGATACGACCGAGGTGGATGAGAATGAGGACGATGCGCCGTCTGATGGCGGTGCTGCTGTCTTAGTTCATCATGGCGACGATGATGATGCGGACGATGAAGGTGGTGATGATGGTGGTGATGATGATGGTGGTAATGACGACAACGATTTTCATTTTGTTATTTTTGATGATGGTAAGAGTAATGATGATGATGATGATGATGATGATGATGGTGGTGGTGGTGGTGGTGGTGGTGGGGGGGGGGACGATGATGCTGATGCTGATGGTATACATGGTTGATTGTGATGCTTATGCGTATGACGATGACAATACTTGATGATGATGCTGATGATGATGATAATCAGGGTTATGACGATGCTGATGATGATCATGATCATGATCATGATGATACTGCTGACGATGACGATGACGATGATGATGATGCTGATTCTGATGATGCTGATGATGCTGATGATGCTGATGATGATGATGATGATGATGATGATGATGATGATGATGATGATGATGATGATGTGTGTGGTGTTGGTGATGATGATCATGATGATGATGACGTGGACGAGGGCGACGACCAGAACGACGGCTACCATGCCGACGACGACGATGAAGAGGATGATGATTACGATGAGCAGGAGCAGGAGGAGGAGGAGGAGGAGGAGGAGGAGGAGGAGGAGGAACAAGCGAGCCAGGAGGAGGAGGAGCGGAGGATGAGGGGGGAATGACGGGAGGCCCTCGTGGGCCAGAGTCGCTTTCCAGAGTTTATTTTGGGAATTCTGGGCGTTCTTGGAGGACAGCTTGGGCTATTCTGGGCCAATTTCAGAGACCATGGGGCCCCGGGGGCTATTTTAGAGGCCTCCTTGGGGCTCAGACGTGCGTTGGGGAGCTCGTAGGGGGACCTCACCCTTAGACAGGACTTGGGAATGTTGGGGAGGGGGAACCAGGGGGGGAGGGGGACAGTCAGACAGCTCACGCGCCCCGTCGCTCCCGGCAAGCGGGGGTCGGCGGACCCCATCCCGCCCGAGGAGCCCCTCCCTCCGGACGACGTGCTGATCTTCGACGTGACGCTGCGCCACGTCGGCTCCGTGGAGGCCCCTGAGGCGCCAGCGGCCGCGCCAGCGGCCGCGTCCGAGGCTGGCGGCCTGGCCACGGCCGGCGGCGCCAGGCCGCTCGCGCAGAACGGCACCCTCCGCGGCTGGCTCGACGGCCTGCTGCACAGCGCGCAGGTGCGGGGCGACCCGGGCGTGCAGAAGATGCTGGGCGTGCCGCTGCGCGAGGTCGGCTCCGTGCAGACGCCCCCGGCGGGCGGCGCCCAGTAGCACGCGCCGCTCGAGTCCGGGGCGCTCGTGCGCCCGGCACGGCGGCACCGCTTGCCCGCACTCTCTCCTCCCTCTGTTCGCTGCGCCCCGGCGCGGCCGCGCTCCAGGTGGCGCCGCTTCAGGGAAAACGGCCATCGATAGACGCCTTCCCGCGAGTCACCGCCGCCCCCCTGTGGGCTGGAGGGCGGGGCGTGTCGGGGGCCTCTCTCCTCTTGGGGCCTCGTGGGGCACCGGGCTAGGATTGGGTCCTCTCCGGCCAACTGTGCGTCTTCTTTCTTGGGCCATCATGGGTCGTGGGGCATCCAAGGGCCCCCCCGGACCTTCCTTGGGCCCCCCTGGCCTCCCAGGGCATCCAAGGCCTCCCCAGGAGCTTGCCAGGAGTTCCCCAGATCCTAAACCCTCAAGCCTAACGGTCCTACGCCCTCCCAGGGGACGCCCAGGAGCCTCCCTGGGGCTCCCCGAGCATCTCAGGAGCATCCACTGCCTTCCGAGGGTCTCCTGTGCTAACGGTTGCGCGGAGCTTCTCAGATCTCAGGGCCTCAGTGCCGCCAGGTGCAGTTGGATTTTCCATGTGCGCAGCCCCCGCCTTTCGGCATCGCTCCATTCAGGATTCCGTTTCTGCCAGATTTCTGCATTCTTGGAGACTCCCAGAGGGCCTTCGTCGCCACGGCTGGCTTCGCCTCGCAACCCTGCTCAGAACGCTCTCTGGGAGAGGTCCAGGGGTCGACTTTGAGGTCGAATGAGGAATAAAAGAAAATAACAGAAGAGGATGGAGGAGGAGGGCAAGGGTGAGAGGCAACTTCGATCTGCTTGGCACCACGCTGCCGACTGGAGTGTGACGGGCTGGAGTGCGCAGCTTCTCTGCGCTCAAGCTTTTCTCGGCCAGAGCGAGCGCCGCCCGCCCGCCTCTGCCCTTCCCATACCCTGGCCTCGCCCGACCAGACAGACCAGCGCGACACGGCCATGGCGCCGCGCGCCTTGGCCCTCCTCGCCCTGGCGGCCTTGCCGCGGGCGGCCGCGCTCCAGGCCGGCGGCGCCGCCCCGGCCAGGGGCGCCGCTCTCGATGGAGCGGCCGGCGGGGCCTGGCCGCTCGCGCAGAACGGCACGCTCCGCAGTTGGCTGGACGGCCTGCTGCACAGCGCGCAGGGTGCGGAGCGACCCGGGCGTCCAGAAGATGTTCGCGCTCGTGCCCGGCCTGGAGGGCGCGCTCCAGGGGCCGGACGCGCTGCAGCAGGCGTTCAGCCCGAGGATGATCGATGCGCTGCAGCGCGGCTTCGACGGCTCGCTTCCCGCGACCACCTCGAGGGACGCGAAGGGCCGCGAGAGGGTGGACCTCGGAGACGGGCTGGTGATCACCCGCCTCGCGCCCGGGGCCAACGGGAGCTCTCCCGTGGACGACGACTCGGTCTCGCTGGAGTACAGGGCCTTCACCAGGGATGGCGACGAGTACGCCTCGTCCCGCAGCCTGGGCCCCCTGAACTTCACGCTGGGGGACCCGGGCCTCATCCCCGGGCTGGCCAGGGCGGTGAGGCACATGACCCTCGGGGAGCGCGTGCTCGTCCGGCTGCCCAGGCAGCTCCTGTATCGGAGAGGCTCCCGCCATTCCGCCGACCCCCAAAAGAGGGGGTTCGTGACGATGTCCGGGGTTGCGCGAGTGCCCCGTGTATGGCAAGGAAGAGGTGGACAAGGAGGATGAAGAGGAGGAGTGGGAGGGAAGACGACGACGCCGACGATGACGAACACGACGACGAAACCGGACGATGTACGAACACGACGACGATGACGATGCGAGACGATGATGATTGATGATGATGATGATGGATGATGATGATGAGATGATTGATGATGATGGTGGTGCTGGGTGTGGTGGTGAGTGGTGGTGTGGTGGGTGATGATGATGAGGATGATGCTGATGATGGTGGGCGGTGGTGGTGGTGGTGGTGGTGGTGGTGGTGGTGATGATGATGATGATGATGATGATGATGATGCTGATGCTGCTGCTGATGATGATGATGATGATGGTAGTGGTGGTGGTGGTGATGATGATGGTGATGGTGATGGTGATGGTGGTGGTGGTGATGATGATGCTGATGATGCATATGAGGATGATGAGGTTGATGAGGATGATGATGATGATAATGATGAGGATGATGAAGATGATGACGATGATGAGGATGATGAGGATTACTAGCCGGCCGCTCTGCGGTTGATCGGGAGTTTCTGTATATAGAAGAAGGTGCGTGCGCCTGTTGGCGAGGGCGAGGATGAGGTTCCTCCTCCTCCTCCTCCTCCTCCTCCTCCTCCTCCTCCTCCATCCTTCTCTTGCCTCCGTCTGTCCTCCTCCACCCCACAGCTCCATCATCTTCTCCTCCTCCTCCTCCTCCTCCTCCCCTTCCTCCTCCTCCTCCTCCTCCTCCTCCTCCTCCTCCTCCTCCTCCTCATTCCTCCTCTGGGCACCTCCCCCAGGGCGCGGATCCACCGGATCTGTCCGGATCTGTCCGGAAACGGTGCCGGAGGCCGCTCTGGGCTCCTCTGGGCACCTCCCCCGGGGCCAGTTTTGTGAGGATGTCTCAAGCGAGGGCGCCGGTTTGGGATTCGTCACCGGATCCAGCGGATCCAGCGGATCCAGCGGATCTGTCCGGAAACGGTGCCGGAGGCCGCTCTGGGCTCCTCTGGGCACCTCCCCCCGGGCCGGTTTTGTGAGGATGTCTCAAGCGAGGGCGCCGGTTTGGGATTCGTCGGCGGGGATCCACCGGATCCAAGCGGATCTGGTCCGGGAAACCCCCCCCCCCCCCGGTGACGGAGGGGGGGTCTGGGCTCCTCTGGGCACCTCCCCGGGCCCGTTTTGTGAGGATGTCTCAGGCGAGGGCGCCGGTTTGGGATTCGTCACCGGATCCAGCGGATCCAGCGGATCCGTCCGGAAACGGTGCCGGAGGCCGCTCTGGGCTCCTCTGGGCATCCCCCCCGGGGCCCGTTTTGTGAGGAGGTCTCAGGCGAGGGCGCCGGTTTGGGATTCGTCACCGGATCCAGCGGATCCAGCGGATCCGTCCGGAAACGGTGCCGGAGGCCGCTCTGGGCTCCTCTGGGCATCCCCCCCGGGGCCCGTTTTGTGAGGATGACTCAGGCGAGGGCGCCGGTTTGGGATTCGTCGGCGGAACCACCGGATCCAGCGGATCCGTCCGGAAACGGTGCCGGAGGCCGCTCTGGGCTCCTCTGGGCATCCCCCCCGGGGCCCGTTTTGTGAGGATGTCTCAGGCGAGGGCGCCGGTTTGGGATTCGTCACCGGATCCAGCGGATCCAGCGGATCCAGCGGATCCGTCCGGAAACGGTGCCGGAGGCCGCTCTGGGCTCCTCTGGGCATCCCCCCCGGGGCCTGTTTTGTGAGGATGTCTCAGGCGAGGGCGCCGGTTTGGGATTCGTCACCGGATCCAGCGGATCCAGCGGATCCACCGGATCTGTCCGGAAACGGTGCCGGAGGCCGCTCTGGGATCCTCTGGGCACCTCCCCCGGGGCCGGTTTTGTGAGGATGTCTCAAGCGAGGGCGCCGGTTTGGGATTCGTCGGCGGATCCACCGGATCCACCGGATCTGTCAGGAAACGGTGCCGGAGGCCGCTCTGGGCTCCTCTGGGCACCTCCCCCGGGGCCGGTTTTGTGAGGATGTCTCAAGCGAGGGCGCTGGTTTGGGATTCGTCGGCGGATCCACAGGATCTGTCCGGAAACGGTGCCGGAGGCCGCTCTGGGCTCCTCTGGGCCCCTCCCCCGGGGCCGGTTTTGTGAGGATGTCTCAAGCGAGGGCGCCGGTTTGGGATTCGTCGGCGGATCCACCGGATCCACCGGATCCACCGGATCTGTCCGGAAACAGTGCCGGAGGCCGCTCTGGGCTCCTCTGGGCACCTCCCCCTGGGCCGGTTTTGTGAGGATGTCCAAGCGAGGGCGCCGGTTTGGGATTCGTCGGCGGATCCACCGGATCCACCGGATCCGTCCGGAAACGGTGCCGGAGGCCGCTCTGGGCTCCTCTGGGCATCCCCCCCGGGGCCCGTTTTGTGAGGATGTCTCAGGCGAGGGGCGCCGGTTTGGGATTCGTCACCGGATCCAGCGGATCCAGCGGATCCGTCCGGAAACGGTGCCGGAGGCCGCTCTGGGCTCCTCTGGGCACCTCCCCCCGGGCCGGTTTTGCGAGGATGTCTCAAGCGAGGGCGCCGGTTTGGGATTCGTCCGGCGGGATCCCCCGGATCCAGCGGATCCAGCGGATCTGTCCGGAAACCGTGCCGGAGGCCGCTCTGGGCTCCTCTGGGCACCTCCCCCGGGGCCGGTTTTGCGGGGATGTCTCAGGCGAGGGCGCCGGTTTGGGATTCGTCCCCGGATCCAGCGGATCCGTCCGGATCCGTCCGGAAACGGTGCCGGAGGCCGCTCTGGGCTCCTCTGGGCACCTCCCCCGGGGCCGGTTTTGTGAGGATGTCTCAAGCGACGGCGCCGGTTTGGGATTCGTCGGCGGATCCACTGGATCCACCGGATCCACCGGATCTGTCCGGAAACGGTGCCGGAGGCCGCTCTGGGCTCCTCTGGGCACCTCCCCCGGGGCCGGTTTTGTGAGGATGTCTCAAGCGAGGGCGCCCGTTTGGGATTCGTCGGCGGATCTACCGGATCCCGGATCCACCGGATCTGTCCGGAAACGGTGCCGGAGGCCGCTCTGGGCTCCTCTGGGCACCTCCCCCGGGGCCGGTTTTGTGAGGATGTCTTAAGCGAGGGCGCCGGTTTGGGATTCGTCGGCGGATCCACCGGATCCACCGGATCCACCGGATCTGTCCGGAAACGGTGCCGGAGGCCGCTCTGGGCTCCTCTGGGCACCTCCCCCGGGGCCGGTTTTGTGAGGATGTCTCAAGCGAGGGCGCCGGTTTGGGATTCGTCACCGGATCCAGCGGATCCAGCGGATCCACCGGATCTGTCCGGAAACGGTGCCGGAGGCCGCTCTGGGCTCCTCTGGGCACCTCCCCCGGGGCCGGTTTTGTGAGGATGTCTCAAGCGAGGGCGCCGGTTTGGGATTCGTCGGCGGATCCACCGGATCCACCGGATCCACCGGATCTGTCCGGAAACTGTGCCGGAGGCCGTTCTGGGCTCCTCTGGGCACCTCCC